CGAGTTCAATGGATCAGAGCAATTTAATACAGCCAGGAAAGTTATAAGGGCAAAAATAAAAATAGTCTACCTACTATTTTGGAAGTATTTGTACATGTTGTTGATTGTATTGCAGGAAATGCTTGAGATGCAGACCCAGATCCAGCAGCAGCATCATGTGCAGGTGGACATGGAGATGGTCAAACCTGACCTGACTGCTGCTCTGAGAGACGTGCGCCTGCAGTATGAGAACCTGGCCTCCAAAAACCTCCATGAGTCTGAGGACTGGTACAAATCCAAGGTAAATACAATGGACTATTATAATAATAATAATAATAAATTGAATTTATATAGCGCTACTCATCTGCCAAGACAAATCCCGAAGCGCTTCACAACATAAGACACTGATAACATTTCAATCAGGAGAGACTTCATTTTGTTTAAAGAACGTTTATTGACACATGGTATATGATAAATGTTAGTCTTTGGCGATTAGACCCCGATCCTGAAATCGTATATCTAAAGGGGGAAATGCAGCCGTGAGCATAGGGAACCCCCCCGGGGTCTAGACACTGGTGATGATGCTGAAGATCTGGATTTGATGAGGAGATGGGATGAAGAGGGGATGTGATGAGGTCTTTGGATTAGCTCTCCTGGCACTGGATGTGATGAAAGGAGGTGGATGGGGAGGATGTGGTCGGCAGCAAGAACACCTGAAATCACAGCTGACTGCAGGAGAGAAGAAAACCATTTTCAAGTTTGGCTGCAGCACGATGATTGGCTGCTGAGATTGAGGTGAATGTAATAGGTTAGCAGGAAGCCCGTGATGAGCTGATTATAAGCAGCTGCGGAGGGATTGTATACCAGTCTTTCTGAACGAACTTGCGCTGAGCTTCATCTAAGAGATACAAATGTATTAAATGTATAATCAATGTATTAGTAATTGATCATATATCTAATCCTACTGGGAAACTGTTTCTCATATACCTCATTCACACCAACGGTGTTTCAGGGCCAGTTCGGAGCTGGAGCTTGAAAAGCACCGGGATTTCCTGTTCACACCGCAGCGGAGCAGCCTCTTAGCTCCGGAATCCGGTTCATTTCGAGCACCAAAAAATTGTCCGGCCAACGGTTCAACTCCTGAACAACAACAAAAAGCCCGCGTTTTATCCAGTTTGTACACAACGATGGAGAAACTTAACAAGCAGCAGTGGTCCACTGAAGAGACCAGCTACCTACTGGGAATCTGGTCTTCCGAAGAGGTACAGAGGAAGCTGGAGCACAATCGGCCATTGTTGTTGTTGTTGTTGTTGTTGTTGTTGTTGTCGGTGTCAGCTGTGAGGGGTTTCCGCGCGGTTTGGCTTTATGAAGCAGGCACGCAAACGGTTACGTCATGACGCAAACGATGACGCAATGACGCAGCACCAGTCGGACACTGGGCGGTGTGAAAAGAGCCGGAGCTAAACCGAAGAACCAGTTCTGAACCTGAAAAGCTCTAGCACGGAGCTTGAACCGGAGTTGCGTTGGTGTGAATGAGGTAATAGTGGTAACTCAACCGACCCCGCAGATCCCCTTGAACATTTTAGTGTCTTTCACCCTTGTTGTTTTGGTTTTCTGACCCCCAGCTCAGTTTAATGACCCTCATTGGCATTGTTTTTGGCAGTAATAACAATAATTTGCAGAGACAAAAATGGCTGACCAAGTTCCAAACCACCTGTGAAATCTGAATAGTATTTGGCAGTGGCGAACCGTCAGGGCCTTCAAGGTATTCAGAGAATACCCTGGAACACTCGGATAAAACAAACAAAAAATCGATTTAATTATATAAATAAAATGTAATAACATGAAAATAAATGTATATACAATTAATAAGTGAGAATCGTATCTGTGTTGTTGATCTGTAATATTACAGTGTTACGTTGATTTGTTTGTCCTTCTCGGACCATGCACTACGCGGCGGCGGCGGGGGGGTGTGTGTGTCTACAGAAGGTCCAGTTGTGATAGACACGGTTTGCCACTGGTATTTGGATATAAAAACACAGACAACATGGCGATTGTGGTGTATTTCCGTTATCAGGATAATGGTAAATATCCTCACATAAGTGATTTGAAATAGCTGGAAAATAATAACTGATTAAAAGAAAACACAACAATACTCATGGGAGAAATAATAGACTCATATAATGTTGCAATTTTTAAATGAATTATCCTTTATTTATGCATGGGGATATTCATTTAAAAATGTTCCTATCTGTGATTCAATAATAAAAAGCATATTTTTATGATTATTAGTATAATATTGTGAATCTCAATTATTTTGGCCATGCTAATCATCACATGATATTTTTACATCATCACATGCTTACTGCTTTGACAACCAAGCTGCTGTGTCACGTCTGGCCACATCTTACACAATTTACCCAGTTTACACTATCTGCCAGTCACTTCTCCCTCAACCTCTGACTCATCATTTATTCAACTGTTGATTTCTCAGTTCTCCCCTCCTCTGTCTATGTTTGGTTGACAGTTTGCTGACCTCACCGAAGCTTCAGCCAGGAATAATGAGGCCCTGAGAATGGCTAAGCAAGAAGCCAACGACTACAGACGCCAAGTTCAGTCACTTACCTGCGAGGTGGATTCCCTTAAAGGAACTGTGAGTATTCAACAAAAAACTAATGTTTTCAACCAATATATAGCTGGAACCAAATAAACGGAGCCCAAAAGTTCAGAAAAAGCTGCATGCCTTCAAATAATGACACAGCAAATAGAGGAGAGGGCTGTTTTTACAGGTCACAAAAGCAAAAAAAACAACCGTAGGAGTTAAAGTTATTTCCACTGCCTAAATGCCTTTGTTTTCACTTGGCTGCCATCCAAGAATGAGTCTTTGGAGCGCCAGATGAGCGAGCTAGAGGAGAACTTCTCCCTGGAGACGGGTGGTTACCAGGACACCGTTGGCCGCCTGGAGGAGGACATTCACAACATGAAGGACGAGATGGCCCGTCACCTCCGGGAGTACCAGGACCTCCTCAATGTCAAGATGGCCCTGGACATTGAGATTGCCACCTACAGGAAGCTGCTGGAGGGAGAGGAGAACAGGTGAAGGATGAAGATTTGACAGATATGCAAATGAATGTTACAGATATGCAGCAAAGACCAGATATTGATCTTCGGACTGTACTTTCTCTTATTTCAGAATCACCCCAATGCCAAACTTCTCATCCCTAAACCTGAGAGGTAGGATAACAGTGTGCATGTTAGCAGGAATGTTAGTATTGCTTATTATATAGGCAGATAATAAACACACTTTTTTTTTTTTTAGAAACAATGATGGATTCCAAACCTCATTTTGAAGCTACAACAACTAAGAAGGTTCTCATTAAGACCATTGAGACCAGAGATGGTCAGGTAAAATTCACTTCAAGTGGTTTTTAATCAATGAAGTAGTGTTATGATGGTCTCAGACTAATAACCCTGCTCACCTTTCTCTTTTCTTTGTATCATTGTTCAGGTGATCAACGAGTCAACCCAGAACCACAATGACATGGAGTAATAATGTGTTTGCAAAACAATAAGAGCAATACGAAGAAACACATTTCACTGGGGCTACAAGCAAGCAAACCAACACAAAACACAGAAAGCAGACCGCTTTGAAAAGTGCCTTTTTACATGTGATGATCCAGTATGCCTGTTAGTTCACACAGACTGTATTTTGCTTCCTCCTCTACTGAAAGTATTACCTTTGTCACATTTGTTTGGACACAATAATGAAATCAGCACAGCTTAGAAATCCTCATTGAGGTCTACAAAAATCTTTCTTTGTAACCATAGTAGTATTTTTGATCAATACCGCATGCACACAATACAGGAAATCTGTATGCTGATAATGTCACAATTGCCTGTATGCAGCAATAAACCAGTGAGACCGATACTCATTTGTGTGCATATACTTGTGTTTGGTATTGGTGTGTGCTAGTTTTGCTGGTATTTCCTTTTTGAAAATAGAGTAGTAGAAGTAGTAGAACCATTCTTCATATGTATGATTAAAACGAAGTGAAGTTCATTTATACACCACCTTATCATATACTTTAAAAGTGCTTGATAGGCAAATACAATTTAAATAAAAGTACAAGTTGATACATTCAAGCTGTGGAACACTGTCAACTGTATCATTTAAAAAAAAAAACTAGCTTATTTTTCAAAATGGCTTTTGTGGGGCATTCAATCCAATGCAAACTTTTTCCAGCAGTGGGCAGCATAAGGGCTAAAATCCGTTTCACTGTGTTTTGAGATACTTTGCTTAAGCATTTCCAGATTTGACTGATAATACTGATGTGCTTTTATTTAAACAAATATTTGATTGCAGACCGTTTTAATTAAGCGTTCTTAAACGATTGCTTTGCTACACTTAAGTAAAGGATTTAAAAAGATTTCTAATAAGTTAACCAAAATCACATTTTATTATCACAAAATGATGGTCTTTACACAGGTCACTGGTTCCACAATACAATAACAATCATTGATGCTACAATGAGATAATGTGCAGTACGGAATATAAGAGCTGTTGAGTCAGAATCAGTCAAAAACCGATCAAATAGAATAGACCTTCCCTGAGTTCACAGAGAGACTGGCTGTATTTGACTGCCATCTGTCGGTGATGAATGTTAATTGAACTACCTCCGGTGGTGGGACATTAACAGCAGGCTTCTCTTTTGTCAGAAGTAGGCTACCCAGATACTTCATAATCCCATTCTTTTAATTAACTAATTTGACCATGACTAAATCTCGCGATAATTTATCCTAGGTAGCCTATACGTGATTTTAAGGAGGGCGTACTGGTGTTTTTGATTATCATAATCAATATTAGGCTTAATTAAGTCAATGCAGTTGGATTTCTGCTCATTTAATAATCAGGGATACTTTCCCGTTAATTAATGTCGCTTGTTTTCGCGGGTTATCCCCGAGAGATCGGTGTGTTTGTCTACGGACCAACTTTCTCCCCGTGACGCGTCTGGCGGAGGAAACACAAACCCAGGGAGACATGCCAACATGATCCGGTTAAACTAAGTTTTTGCTTCATTAATCATTTCGATATCGTGCTATAAATTACGTGAGCCCAACATGACAACGGTGTGTGAATGACAGAGGTGGGTGTTTTCTTTTTCCGCGCTTTCTTTTTGTTGGAAATGGCGAGTAAAACAAAAATAGAGTCAAGTTTCAACAGGTTTTGAGTACAATTAACGTTAATCTCAGAGTAACCGATACCAACTGACGCTTTTTAACGTTTTTTTATTTTTTATTTAGTGATGGGCTCGGTGACTTCTGCTCTAACACGGACAAGAAATGCGTTGGTGAAAGTGGGTTCAGAACCAGAGAACAACCATGACCCGGAGAGGAGCCAATCCGCCCCGGAGTCGGACCGGGCCGTGGACCGGGCGGTGGACCGGGCTGTGGACCGGGCGTCGGACCGGGCCGTGGACCGGGTCCGGAAGAAGAGCGCCCGGTTCAACGTGTCGAGACAAACCGGGCGGCAGTCCGATGTGCTGAGCAGACAAGACTCCGACGGAGGCAAACACACTTCGAAGAAAAATACTTCTGAAGGACAACACAGCGGTGAGTGCAATATATTCAATAGAAAATAAAGGTCTTACTACTTTTGTCCCTTAGAAGTTATGCAGATTTTGGTTAGACTAAATTCTAGCAAAAATACAATAATACACCAACTTGTGGCTATGTAGGTCTGGTCTACTACCAATATACTTTGAGGTACTAGTAGCCTTTACTTGAAATGTTCTATCTTATGCTACTTTATACTACTTTCCATACTAAACACATGATAAAAGATAATACGTTGTTCTATTCTATCCAACACTATATTTTGTGAAAACGCTACACTAGAGAAACTATAAAAAGTAAAGCACTTCTTAATAAAACATACATTCTGACATTTGACATTCTGCATAATAAGCACTTTTGCTTTTTATACTTTTGTAGGCCGACTTTTACTTTAGTCAGTTTTCATTTAGTGGTTGTGCAACACCAAAACAAGGATATATCATCAATGTGAATGTATGTATAACACTCTAATTTAGCCTTTATGTTATCTAAAGCCAAACTAAGTCCAGATACTTTAGAAGCCACCATATATAATTCAATAATGAAATACAAGTATGTTTAACATCAACTTCAAACATAACAGACCTTAACAGCAACAAATATGAGACAAATTATCATTTCTATTTAAAGCAGCACTTTAGTATACAAAATACAAAATTCTAAATGCATGACTTTTACTAGTGAGAGAGTATTTGGTTTGTGTGGTAAGCTCCCTTTAAGTCTTGTTTGGATACTTTTTCTACCACCTATAGCAAAAAGTTCATTTTCACAGCAGACAGTTTGACTTGTCAGACAGGGGACAGCACAGGTGGAACTAATAACACTAACGAGCCCAGTGAACCACTGCGGTGAACAACATGTACAGTAACACGTTGCCAATGTTATTGAACACACCTGGACCTCTCCTGCTTCGACACGTCCAAATGAAATTTGGCAAAAGCTTTTTTACATTTCAAAGTTTGCGTTACCTCTTTCTTATAAGAAATCCTTTAAAAAGAGTCTATAAGTTCTAACCAATGGATATATAACGGCTATTAAATCATTTACAACAGTTGATGTATCAGTTGTAATCTAAGGACAAACCTAACAGGGTCCATTCTGCAGCCGAATGGGGCTGGAACATATATCGATATTACATTCACATTGTGTTATGAGATGGTCTGTGATTTAAGATATCGTAATATATGGAAAGTGTTGTCTGTTCATGGTTGTAAAGGCTGCATTGCAGTAAAGTGATTACATTTTCTGAACCTACCAGTCTTTTCTAGCTGTCCTATTGTTTTCCTACACATCTCTAGTCATTACATCCACATCACTGAGTATTTATCAAAATCCTCATTGCCACAATATTTAGTGAAATAGGTTTTTGGCCGAACTTATCAGGATATATGATTTTCTTCACATTGCCCAGAACCAGTTGCGTATACTTCTGCATTCTTCAAGTAAAGTATCTACAATTGTACTGTGCTGTACCTACTTAGTTACTCAGGTACTTCTTAGGCTGCCAGCTGTTGTGTTTCTTTATACTGCACATCTCTTTGGTTCAGTTCATGGATCTGTCTGTAGATGAGAGCAACTGGTCACTTCAGAGGATTACTGTGAATACAATGCTTCTGGAAAAAAGGTGTTCAGTGAATGAATGCAGAGCTCTTTGATGGCCAGCCTCAATGCAGCATATCTCCACTACCAAAGCATCTCTTTGATGTCTGTCACCCAGACTGAAATGAACCAAATGACAGCCCTCTTCATTTGAACACATCCACATGGGAAACTGCAATATAGTAGAAATGGGTTATGTTTTCTATTGGAAATATATAAGTTCAAGTTGACTAAATCAGCAACATTAAGCGCTGGTCATGGTAATAACATATGTTGTAAAGAGAATGGCTTCACCCACCAAACTCCATCATTTAATTGCATCACTTGCTTGTGAATATATATGGACTATTTTAAGACAAGTCGAGACGGTTTACCACCATTTCAGTTTTTCAACTTATGAGAGATGGTACAAAGCTTTACCGGCAGTTTAAAGTTGAGTAGATCTGTGTACCGTACTAGTTTCTGTGTATCTTCTAACTACTGTTGTATCATTTTTGTTCCTTTAAACGTATTCAATTTTATATTTTACACATTTGACCTTGTGTTAGTCATTGTTCCCTTCAGTTCCTCCTGTTTATCTGCAGCTGTCTCCTCTGCTGCCACCTCTAGTTCCAACTCCCTTCATATCCCTCCCAGAGGAAAATCATTCTCCCTGGCTGCCTCCTAAAATACCATCTGTACTGTGGCGTTTCCATGACCGTGTGACAGTGTAGACTCCCGTTGAGTGTCCTCCCCAGTCCCCGATGATGTTCATGTGTTGAGGACTCTCCTCTCTGTCTCTTAGCAGACTGTAAACTGCTTCATGCTGAGAAACAACACACAGATACCTTGATCCAGATCTGCTTATCTGGTCGAGCCCTTCAGTGTTAGACAGTCCCTGTGCTGTAGATATCTCAACTAGTCGAGAAGTTACGTTTCACATCAACTATAACACCTTTAGACTCTGATCTGAGCCCACACTGCCTTTCAATTAAGATGGATCGATCATTTGTACGGTGTCAAAGCCACCCACAATACATGACTACTGAACAGTAACTCTATACGTCTCACATGAACACTACTGGAGAGAGATATGATGATGATAGGGATGTTGAAGAGCAGCAATTACCATGCTATTTATTGCACAAGAATTGGGTAATCAGACATTTCACTGTGGATGACAAGGAGCTAGAATTGCTTTCAATAATTGCATATATTTATCATAATGAATGGTGTTTTAATAGATAGCTCGATTGCAAGCAGCTGAATGAAGTTGTGTTTGAGACATTTCTGAGGGGGAAGATCGCACAGTTGATTCAATGTTTGCCAACAAATTCCTTAACAGGGAGACATTTAGTTTAGTGTTACCAGCATTTGCAAGTTATTATCTTCAGTAAATCTTCGTGAGTGTCAAATGAAGGCAGCATGTATGAATTTTCATCAGGCACCGAAAGAAAACATTTGTAGATCAGAGTTTGCGGAATGTCAGACTAATGTGTAATAATATTACGGCTACAGTATCTACTCAAACATGATGACGCATGCTTCATTAATACATTCATTAGCTCGGCCTCGCTTTACATTTGTCTATAATTGGATGCTACACTTGCACACTCAAAAGTGAATACAACACACAACACAAAAGATGAATGTGTTTGAATTGTAATCATACAACTAGCTTATTTAAAAATACGTTGATTGACGGCTTTAATCTGCTTCATAATTTGAATCATCTTCATTCACAAAGTCGTGATTATAGTTTGATGTGTCTGTATGAATCAATAGAACATTGTGCACCATCATATCGTTCATTTTGACTACATTCACGGATCAGGATTCATTGATACTGTCTGAATAACTGAAGACAGTTCTTTCATATTAATACTTGATCAGAACCAATCATCAGTAAGAAGCTGTAAGACGCTAAAACAATTCAGAAAATCCACTACACGCCCAGTGACATGCGTTTCATCGGTGACACATCAGGCAATTGATATCTGTTTAAAATGGATCCAGCAAGTGTGCCACAGATTCTTTCTTCTTCACACGTCATCCTTTCACCGCTGCCTCTCAGCTATGGGAGGACCTGAATAGCAGGGAGAAGATGCATGTGAAGCAAGAAGGGAGGCATGAAGAAGAACGCAGAAAATAAAACCTGTGTCTTTAGTGTAGGCTTTGGTAACACGGTCATGTGAATTACAATCATATTTAAATGCATGTAAGTTACCTCCATACCCACATTCAGTGGTATAATGTGATCTGCTGTCATAGTACTATATATGTGTTAACCATAAAGATACCCTGTGGAGTTAATGAGCACTATTAGCGCTATGGAAAACATCTTTAGAAATGGTTTCACAATTGATGATGATGATGATTTACAGTTGGCAGTTATGCGTCATGAAATGCAGCAATGTGCCTCCATAGGCAGTTTATAACTGCTAGCTAGTAAACATGGTAGAGGTGTAACGGTTCACAGAAGTCACGGTTCGGTTCGTACCTCGGTTTGGGGGTCACGGTTCGGTACGGTTTCGGTACAACAAGGAAAAGCAAAGAAAAGTCCCAAATGCATAATTATTTTTTTGCTGTTATTTATTTTTAACAGTCGTGCAAGTTTTGGTATGAAAATAAGGAACTCTAACATTTGGAATCATTAACTGTATTACACAGTTAAAAACAAAACACAAACAGTAACACTCAGATGGCCATATTATTTATAATGGCTGATGTCAAACAAAAAGGTTAAAAAGCTGTACAACTAAAAAGAATGTCTTGAAAATATTAAAATAAATAATAAGAAAGTGTTTCAATCACAATCAATAAAAGGCAATACAGAACTGTATAACATCTCCTGATGTCAAAATATAAAATAAATACAATGATAAATATAAAACTAAATAAAATATGTACCTTTAGGAGCAATGTCTAACATGTGTAATTAACTTGTGAGTGTGTGAGGCCATTATGCCTAAATACAGGTACTCAAGCTTTACTCTATTTTCAAGTTGTTCTTCAAAAAGATGAGTTTGATTACGTTGTCAGCAGTGAGGGCAGATCTGTTGGCGGTAACTATGTCACCTGCCGTCGAGAAAACCCTCTCGCTGGGGACTGAGACTGACTCGGATGTGATTGAGCATGTTTGACGTGTTACCACTAGCATACCGCACCGCTGTCGAACAACGCCGACACACCGTCCTCGTCCGATCCACAACTCGCACCCCATCATTGTTGTAGTCCACAGGGAACCCGAAATGTTCCCACACACCTGATTTAAAAGAAGCAGCAGAAGCTTCTAGCTCCTGTGTGTTGTGTGAACTCGCCATAGATACTAACTTTTCTTCTTTGTGTATTGTGTTCGTTTTGTTGTGTTTTGTTCTTCATTTGTTATTTACGGGCGGCTGGCTTTTAGGCACAATACA